CTAAATTAATAGGTTTATCTTCTCTACTATAATTCTATTTTTTTAATTTCTTAACCTTAAAGTCAGACTATAAACAGAACTGTTTGAAACACCTGATTTTATTTCTGCAGAAAAGAAAATAAAAACTAAACTGCTATTGGACGCCTGGGTGGCTCAGATGGTTAAGCGTCTGCCTTCGGCTCAGGTCATGATCCCGGGGTCCTGGGATTGAGTCCCACATCGGGCTCCCTGCTCAGCACGGAGCCTGCTTCTACCTCTCCCTCTCCCTCTGCCTGCCACTCCCCCATGTTTGTGCTCTCTCTTTCTCTGTCAAATACATAAAATCTTTAAAAAAAAAAAAAAAAAAACTAAACTGCTATTTAAAGTCTCGTAAATTATAATTTTTTAGAAAGAAAACCGCAGGTCCAAGATAGAGCCACTTGCCCCAATAGAGCAAACTTAGACTTAACTGCAGTTTCAGTTTCTCCAAGGAGTGAAATTTTAAGACAAACAATGTAAAATTTTCTGTTCAGCACCAATGAGGTAATCTATCACATGGGCCCTCTTCATCCCGCCAGAGGAAGGTGAGGTAATCCACCTAATAGGACCCTTTGCCTTTCCCCCTATGAGAAGGTGACCTTGTTTGAACCAATCCCTACTTTTCTTTTGCTAATAACTTCTTGCCCTACTCTCCTTCCTATAAAAATCTTCTATTTTGTACAACTCCTTAGAGCTTCTCTCTATTTGCTAGATGGGATGCTGCCTGATTCATGAATCAATTAATAAAGCCTATAATTTACTTGGCTGAATTTTGTTCTTTGACATGATGTACTTTTTCTAGATGTTATAGAAGCAGAAAAATAATTTTACAACTTACTAAATTCTTTTTAATTCAGTTATGTCTGCAGTGATTATCAGTAAGTTCAGCTCACACACCTTTACTAATCTACAACAGACAGGCATTTCAGTTTCTCATAATTATCTAAACATGTTTCACAGTATTTGCAGGCGTGGAGGTTTAGATTTTAAAAGGGCAATAAAGCAATAAGACAGCACTAAATTAATTTATGTTTTACACTGAAAGGCAGGAAAAACCAACAGAAAATCTGCTACTTTTGATTGAATTGACCCAAATTTTAGTCATATGTGAGGATTTGTTTCAGCCTGATTACTATACAAGGAAGTTCTTTACTTAGATTCCTAAATCATAAATATGTCAAGATTTACCACCTAGAGCCCAAAACAAACATTAATACCCAAGTGGTTTGCTTCTGAGATTCCTTTAATTAAAGTTGATTCCTTGCTTAAAGGACAACTCTTTTATTATTTTGTATTTTACTTTTCCTAAATCCTATATTATTGTTTCCTCATTATTATTTATTTATTCATTATCAATTCCGTGCCACAGAACTTCTTTATTCCAGACACTGTAATGAGGCATTAGAACTTTGACCATTGTTTGTAAAAATCTGCCAGCCTTACTTTTTTCACTGTGTAGTCTATAAAAATATCTAAATTACAAATGTAATTGATCATTTGAAAAAATTAGTTAATTTCTGTTTCCCAGTTTCTTCTTTTTCTTGGTGCTCTAGAAGCCCCGCCATGTAGCTCTTTCAAAAAGTGATCTCCAGGGCGCCTGGGTGGCTCAGTTGGTTAAGCGACTGCCTTCGGCTCAGGTCATGATCCTGGAGTCCCTGGATCGAGTCCCGCATCGGGCTCCCTGCTCGGCAGGGAGTCTGCTTCTCCCTCTGACCCTCCTCCCTCTCATGCTCTCTCTATCTCATTCTCTCTGTCTCAAATAAATAAATAAATAAAATCTTAAAAAAAAAAAAAAGTGATCTCCATCTATATTAATCATAGACTTTGAGAGATGGTAAAATCTTCCTTAGACTTCATCTACACAACACCCTTGTTTTAAGGATAAGGGAACAGAGAATGACCTTAAGTGGAAATACTTGATAGTAGAACTGGAAGTAAAAACCTAAGTCACGGGGGCGCCTGGGTGGCTCAGTTGTTAAGCAACTGCCTTCGGCTCAGGTCATGGTCCCAGGGTCCTGGGATCGAGTCCCATATCGGGCTCTCTCCTCTGCGGGAAGCCTGCTTCTCCCTCTCCCACTCCCCCTCCTTGTGTTCCCCCTCTCACTGTGTCTCTCTCTGTCAAATAAATAAATAAAATCTTTAAAAAAAAAACAAACCTAAGTCACGGGGCGCCTGGGTGGCTCAGTCGTTGGGCGTCTGCCTTCGGCTCAGGTCATGATCCCAGGGTCCTGGGATCGAGCCCCACATCGGGCTCCCTGCTCGGCGGGAAGCCTGCTTCTCCCTCTCCCACTCCCCCTGCTTGTGTTCCCTCTCTCGCTGTGTCTCTATCAAATAAATAAATAAAATCTTAAAAAAAAAAAAAAAAAACCTAAGTCACCTGATGCACAATCTCTAATTCTTTCCCCAGCGGAGCAATTTCCCAGAACCATTGGTGTCAGTGGCTTAACTGTTACTAGAAAAGGGACGGAAATAGGAGAGTGACATCAAGCAACAGCAGTGTGATTGGTACTGATGATTTTTTGAGACTTTTTCAGAGAGTCTGTGTTTAGAAGGGTGGCAGAATATGCCACCCCAATATGCTTCTTCAGGATAAGGACTTTTTTGAGTTGATTATTTTTGAGAAACAGCAGACAATAGAGAAGCTCTGAATACGGAACAGAAGTTACCCTTTTGTAAGAGAAATTTGCATTTATAAAGAAAAAAATCTCCCTTGGGACACCTGAGGGGCTCAGTCGGTTAAGCATCTGCCTTCGGCTCAGGTCATGATCCCAGGGTCCTGGGATCAAGTCCCGCATCCGGCTCCCTGCTCAGCGGGAGCCTGCTTCTCTCTCTGCTGGCCGCTCCCCCTGCTTGTGCACTCGCTCGCGCTCTCTCTCTCTCTGACAAATAATAAATAAATAAAATTTTTTAAAAAAAAGAAAAGAAAAAATCCCCCTTTGTAAGTATCTCCCTCTCTATACTTAGAAGAAAAGGGTGACTCTAAATCACAAGAGAATCTTGTCAATGGAGACGACACCAACACAAATCTGTATAGCAAACCTTACCTTTACTTTTTACTGTGCTTTTTCTAATAACCTCCTATAATTTGATGCCTTCCCACCCCGCCTCACCCCAATATCTTTCTTTTGTCTTTAGCTGAAGATGGTATGTAAGGTGGTGGCTAGGGCCATCTCAGGGAGTTTACTCATTTTCCCTGGGTATCTCTCATGCATACATGAAGCATACATATTGATAAGCTGTTTTTCTCTGGTTAATCTGTCTTTTATTATGGGGGGTCTCAGCCAAGAACTCAGAAGGATAGGGGCGCCTGGGTGGCTCAGTCGTTAAGCATCTGCCTTCGGCTCAGGTCATGATCCCAGGGTCCTGGGATCGAGCCCCGCATCGGGCTCCCTGCTTGGCAGGAAGCCTGCTTCTCCCTCTCCCACTGCCCCTGCTTGTGTTCCCTCTCTCGCTGTGTCTCTCTCTGTCAAATAACTAACTAACTAACTAACTAACTAACTAACTAAATAAATAAATAAATAAATAAATAGAACTCAGAAGGATAGGAGGAAAAAAAACACTACAGTGTTCTGGAAAGGGATCACTAAATAGTTAGAGAACCCACAGTTTCTCTTTATAGCATAATAAACTCACAGGCACTGGTTATTCCTACTATTCAAAGTCACCATCCTAAATACTCTATTTTCTCCAGAAAAAGGTGCCTGAGGAGACTTTGAGTAATGTAATACTGCCATCTAGCATCAAAATTTTTAAATTACCTAAAATGGTGTACTGGAGGGAAAAATGTCATCCTATGTATGTGCAATAATAAATTTCTACAGAAGGATGACACAAATGCAGTCAGAAAACAAATATGTATGTATGTTTGATAACATGTTCATAATTAGTAAAAATGCCAAATAATCCTAAAAACACCAACTAAAATGAAATTGGGAAGTATAAGTTTCCGATTTAATTTTTCTTTTTAAAATTGTATTGGTTGTTCTGGGTCTCTTGAATTCCCATATACATATTAGGATCATCTTGTCAATTTCTAAAGAAAAAAAAGAGAGACAGCTGGGATTCTGGGAGCGATTGCATTGAATCTGCAATCAATTTAGGGAGTATTATCATGTTAATATTATCTTCTGATCTATGAACACAGACAGGTGTCTTTCCATTTATTTATTTTTTTTTTTTAAGATTTTATTTATTTATTTGACAGAGACACAGCGAGAGAAGGAACACAAGCAGGGGGAGCCAGAGAGGGAGAAGCAGGCCTTCCGCGGAGCAGGGAGCCGGATGCGGGGCTCGATCCCAGGACCCTGGGATCATGACCTGAGCGGAAGGCAGACGCTTAACGACTGAGCCACCCAGGCGCCCCTATTTTATTTTTTTTAAAGACTTTATTTATTTATTTGACAGAGGGAGACACAGCGAGAGAGGGAACACAAACAGGGGGAGGGGGAGAAGGAGAAGCAGGCTTCCCGCGGAGCGGGGAGCCCGATGCGGGGCTCGATCCCAGGACCCTGTGATCATGACCTGAGCCGAAGGCAGACGCTTAACGACTGAGCCACCCAGGCGCCCCGTCTTTCCATTTATTTAGATCTTGAATTTCTTTCAACAATGTTTTGTAGTTTTCAGACAAAGTTTTTCACTTCTTTTGTTAAATTTATCCCTAAGTATTTTATTCTTTTTGCTGGTAATGTGAATGGAATTTCTTTTCTTAATTTCATTTTTGGATTGTTCATTGCTAGTGTATACAAATACATTTGACTTTTGTATATTGATCCTGTATTGTGCAACCTTGCTGAACTCACTTATTAGTTTTCATTTTTTAGTGGATGCCCTAGGACAGTCTGTAATTATACAGGACATTCTATATGTATTACATAATGTACAAATAAAGATAGTTTTACTTCTTTCCTTCTAACATGAATACCTTTTATTTCTTTTTCTTCCCAAATTTCCTTGGCTGGAACCTCCAATGCAATGCTGAATAGAAGGGGGAAGAACAGGGGCGCCTAGGTGGCTCAGCCAGTTAAGCAGCTGCCTTCAGCTCAGGTCATGATCCCAGGGTCCTGGGATCTGGGTCCCTGCTCAGTGGGGAATCTGCTTCTCCCTCTCCCTCTGCCCCTGCCCTCCCTGCTTGTGTGCACACATGCATGCTCTCTAATAAATAATCTTAAAAAAAAAAAAAAAAAAGTGGGACGAGCAGACATCCTTGCCTTGTTTCTCATCGTAGGGGGAAAACATTAGTCTTTCATCATGAAATATGATGTTAAAACTTTAGTTCTTTCATAGACACTATTAGGTTGAAGAAGTTCCCTTCTATTCCTAGTTTGTTGAATGTTTTTACCACGAGTGTTGTCAAATGCGTTTTCTGTGTCAAGATGATCATGTGCTTTTTGTCCTTTATTGATATGGTATATGTCATAGGCAGAATAATACCCCAAAGATGTCCACGTTTTAATGCCCAGGACCTTAATATGTTATATTCCATAAGGTTGCAAATGGAACTAATCAGTTGACTTTAAAATAGGGAGATTATCCTGGATTATCCAGGTGGGCCCAGGGTAATCATAAGGGTCTTTATAAGGGGGAGAAGCAGGCAGAAGGAGAATCATAGAATTGGCAGCATGAGAAGGACTGTCAGCTGTTGTTCATTTTGAATATGGAGGCATGCAAGGAATGTGGTGGCCTCTAGAAGCTGGAAAAGTCAAGGAGGTGAATTCTTTCCCTTGAGCCTCCAAAAAGGAGTGCTGATCCAGTTTAGCCCAATGAGGCCTAATTTGGAATTCTGACCTCCAAACTATACAATAATAAATTTGTTGGGCACCTGGGTGGCTCAGTCGTTAAGCGTCTGCCTTCGGCTCAGGTCATGATCCCAGGGTCCCGGGATCGAGTCCCACATCAGGCTCCCTGCTCTGCGGGAAGCCTGCTTCTCCCTCTCCCACTACCCCTGCTTGTGTTCCCTCTCTGTCTCTCTCTCTGTTGAAAAATAAATAAAATCTTAAAAAAAAAAAAAAATTGTGTTGCTTTAAGCCAATAAGGTTGTAGTAATTTATTACAGTAGCAATAGGAAACTAATGAAGTGTATTAATATTAATTTATTTTCAGATGTTAAACCAACCTTTCATTCCTGGGATAAATCCCAGCTGATCATGGCATACAAGTTTTTTTATATATTGCTAGATTTGATTTGCTAGTGTATTGTTGAGGATTTTTGAGTACATATAAGAGATATTGGTCTGTAGCTTTGTATGTGTGTGATGTCTTTATTTGGCTTTAGCATCAGGGTAATACTGGTCTCACAGAATGAGTTGGGAAATATTCCCCATATCTGCTGTTAGTAAAGCACTCCACCTTTGTTATAGTTACTGTTTTCATGATATACATTTGTCCATGCTTTTACTTTCAACTTATTTGAAACCTGTCTTTAATCTAGATTTCCTATATAATGGATTTCCTCTGTAATAAATGATATTTTTATGACAATAAGACTGCATTTGTTCTCTTATGAGCTGCTATTTTTGAAAATTAGCTGCTGATGTAAACCTTAGTTTTTTGAAGTATAATTACTTTTCATTTCCATACACTCTGGTTCTCTTGCTTACATTAAGTTTTGGTGTTCGGGCTTATTTTTGTTTTGCTTAAAATAAAATTTAGAGGTTGCCTGGGTGGCTCAGTCAGTTAAGTGTCTGCCTTCAGCTCAGGTCATGACCCCAGGGTCCTGGAATCAGAGTCCCATATCGCATCAGGTTCCCTGCTCAGCAGGGAGTCTCCTCCCTCTGCGCTCTGCCCTGGATCCCTCCCCCTGCTTGTGCTCACACTCTCAATCTCTCTCAAATAAATAAAATATTTTTTTAATTAAAAAATAAAATAAAATAAAATTTAGAAACCGTATGTTGGGCCCACTTTTTTTTCTATTGGTTTGTGAAATCTGTAACTCTAACAACCACTAAACGAGAAAATTTCCAAGACTAGTTTGAAGAGCTGTTGTATATACAACATAGTCTGTATCTATTAAACAAGTTTGGTAAACTTATGAATAATTTTTAAAGTAGTAACATTTTATCAGTATTTTTGTTTAACTCGTATTTTTTAAAAGACATTATAAAATTGACTTGGCAAAAGAGATATAAACCATATTAAAAATCACTACTGAGAATAATTAAGAACCATCTACATGTCCAATAATATACATTGATTAAATTATAATGAATTCATATAATTATCTATTAAAAATCATGCTTTATAAGAGTATTGTGTGACTTGGAAAATGTTTGCCTCCAGGTCAAGTTGTCCTATTCTAGTAATTGCTCCCTCCCCTAACCATTTTGGGTATGTTGCAGCTTCCCAAAGTGTCTTACCACACCTATTGGCATTCTTTAATCCTGCTCACTCCTTTGTAAATAGTCGCTCTGTTAAACCCTGTTCAGGCACACCACATTAGTATGTCTGTTGCCTGCCAGGACCCTGAGAAAGTTTATACACAGGTTAATGGTGAAATTATACCTTTACTCTCTGGCTGGTGAAATTGAGACTAAATTACAGAGAAAACAATGAATGCCTATTTTTTTTTTTACAAGTATTACTATGATATGTGTACTGCAGCTAATAATGAGGGTTACCACTAGTTAAATGTTTTTAGTTGCAGTTCTTTATATATCATCCCCTTTAATCTTTTCAATAACCCTATGAGGTATCATGGTTATCATCCCTAGTTTATACATGAGGACATATTAAATATCTTTGATTATTGTGAATTAATGTATTGTCATTGTTTTCTTTTGTAGATCATTCACGAGAAGTCCTGGAGCAATTAGTAGGCCCCAACAAACTAAAGCAAGTGACGTGGACTGTTTATTGATGCTTATTAAAGCTTATCAAAGCAATGATCTTCATACTACATTCCCAGGAAACAATGGTTTTAGAGATTGGCTTTCCAATAATGTTGCTTGTTGCTTTGAAGTTAACAGACCCTTAAACATGTAATAGTACTATTATCCTGTTTGTTTGCGGAGTCATTGTTTTTGACATGGTAAGCCTAGCATGCCCTCTGATGTATTTGCGGCGTGGCGGGGGGGGGGGTGGTGGGGGGGGAGTACTGAGTTTCTTAAATAACAAAGTTTTAAATTACCAGTTTTTCCTGGAAATTTCCTTCTCCTACCTACCTATTTGAGCTGCCATAAGTTAAATTTACCAGTATGAATAACCATTAGGAGAATTCTTAGTATCTCTTAAAAGCATAATTACCTTCCTAGCTATTTTCTGGGCCCTACCTTCCTTAAGTATTTAAATGTTCATTGGCCAAAAGCAAAGCTGAACATCAGCCCTGTAAATCCTCACAGAATTTAATATTTCAATAAAACAAAGAAATAGAATAGTTTAATGTCATAAACCCAGGACATCATACACCTTAGCCATTTAGCATATGAATGTTACTGAGGCCCTTGCCCAGCCACTTACTTGATTTTCATGGCTACTTTTCCCGAGTACATGCTATTCATCTATGAAATTTCCTCCTTAACAACTGCATTCAGGAAAGTGTAAGAATGAGTAAATACAAAATATCATTATAGAGGCTGTTTCCTAAAGCTCTGTCGGTTTCATATTGTGAACAAAACAACACAGATCTTAGTTTTCAAATGAACTGCATTACTCTTTTATAATCACAAAATTCTCTGAAGTATATATACTATGCTTAAACCACCCCAAATTCAGTATATTCCCTGTGCCATGAGCTTGTCTCAGTGGGACTTTTTTAAAGATTTCCTATTTTAACTCTGATGTAGTACAAAAGAAGGGAAGTATGGTATGGTAAATTTCTTCCACATGTTTAGAAGAATGTTTATACATTCAACTCTATTTCTTGACCTTACTACTAATTACTTTATAAATGCGGTATATGTATAGTATGGATATATATATTGCCCCTCAAAGGTAAGACATATGTATATATGTAAACCATGGGTAAGGCCTGTTCACCTATGAAATTTTCCTAAAGACAAATTCAATAAAATTTAATAGTAAACGTCAAAGTCAGTAGCTTTTCCCCCTTTTTGGGAAACAAGTTTTTCAAGATCTAGAGTGTCAGCTTTTTAGGGTCTGTAAAGAATTATCTTCCTAAAAACACTTTGCAGTTTAATATTCTTGCCTTTATAGATTGCTGGTTGTATTAGCTATCTCTGTTTAAAATTTTAGTACTCCACTCCTACCTATCTCTATCATCCTCACCTCACACTTTGACCTCTTTATTTTTCTCCTTACCGTCTATCACCATCTGGCATCTTGTCTGTTTTTATTATCTATCTCCCTAGAATATAAGCTTCATAAAGACAGGAATTTTTGTCTTTTCTTCCCCAGTGCCTAGAAGAGTATCTGGTACATAACAAGCACCCAATATCTGTTGAATGAATGAACACACAAAAAAATAAATAAATAAAGGAGAAAAATAAAGAAAGAAAAATAATACCCATACTTCCAGTTTCCAGTCTGATGTTATAAAGTGATTAGAAGTCATCACTCCTGTCCTCATAAGATAAAAGCTGAACAAACTGAAAATCATGAAGTGATACAGTATTACTTGAAAGTGGACTTGGCGGGTGCCTGGGTGGCTCAGTTGGTTAAGCAACTGCCTTCGGCTCAGGTCATGATCCTGGAGTCCCTGGATCGAGTCCCGCATCGGGCTCCCTGCTCGGCAGGGAGTCTGCTTCTCCCTCTGACCCTCCCCCCTCTCGTGCTCTCTCTCATTCTCTCTCTCTCAAATAAATAAATAAAATCTTTAAAAAAAAAAAAAAAAGAAAGTGGACTTGGACTAGTTGTAAGTGTATACTAGGGCAACCACTAAACACAATTTTTTAAATATGTATCATTGATATCCTAAGAGAGAAGAGAAAATGGAAGCATGTAAAATGCTCAACTAAAACCAAAGAAGGCAGGAAAAGAGTGGAACACCAAAAAAGAAACAAGGAACTAGGGCAACAAATAGAAAACAGTCGTAAATACGGTAGAAATTAATCCAGCTATATCAATAATCCCTTTAAATGTGAATGGTCTTAATACAAATCTGTTTGTTAAACTATGAAGTCATTCAAGGCTCACCATTATATACATGGGAGATTTTAAAATATCTTAAGTAACATTTGGATATCTCAAAGATTTTGTGCCTGCCTAATAAATCAAGAGAGGATAACAGAAACAGGGTCTGTAGATATTTAAACTTAAATCTTCTCTTTGTGTCATCAAGTTGACTTCCACAGTGCTCCCGAGTATAATTAACTCTTTCTTACCTTGCTGGGAAGGGCAATAACCAGCAGAGTACTCTGAATTTTCAAAGGATATTGTCAAAAAAACTCTTTCCTCTCAAATATCATCCAATGCCACTGTAACCTTTAATTTCTATTAATTTTAACCAAGTCTGAATTAAAATTTAGGTTGATAATGTTTAAGACCCAACAGACCAATGGGAATTAGATGCACAAGAGTTGTTTCACTGGGCTAAAATAAACTCTGACTTCCAAGTTCAATAATCACCAAATCCTCTGCAGCCCCAACTCCCAGACTCCCATCGAATTATCCTATTTTCCTATCTGAGCAACAATTTGCCCTTAACTGCTTTCTCCACATTTCTGCTGTATGACTAACTCTGATCACATTTCCCTGGTACCATAATCCCAACAGTATGCATGTATTATTAGAAAGTTTATATATAATGCACATGTTATAAACAATTCTAAGCAGTATAAGAACATAAGAGTACATTAGAAAGGCTGCATTTATTGTAACACATATAATGCTGGTGTTTAGTTTTAAATTAGAGAATAGAAAATCTACAGTATAGAATTATAAGACCCAAAGGTAAAACCTAAGCCTCCCTCCCACCCCAGTCTACCAGCTATCTGGTACCCTCTCAGAAGGCAACCACATTAGCAGTTACTTGTTTATCTTTTCAGGAATATGCTATGTATGTTGCAAGCAAATATGTATTTTATATGTATATACATATGTAGGTACATACATACATCTTTTCATACATTCACCTATAAATAGTGGTATACTATACATATTCTTCTTCACATTCTCATTTATCTCATAGGGTTTTTATTGATATATAAGATCCTGACAACCTGGGCCATATAGTAGCATTACCAATTTCTAGCTAACCTTAGTGAACCATAAAGAGGCATCAAAAAGTGTCACGGTATATAGGAAATTCTAAAATCTTGATTTTTATCCATGACTGTCAGTTGAGGTCCTATTATGTACTAAATACTGTATGAGGCACTTTATACTTTCATTTTATAAAATAGCCTTGAGGTGAGGTTTATTAAGTTTGTTACAATTTTATAGATGAGGAAATTAAAGCTCAGAGAGCTTAACTAGCCTAAAGTCCCAACTAGAAAGTGACAGAGTTGCCTGACTCCAAAGCCCAGGTACTCTGTACCACACTAAATGCAGCTCTGATCTTTACAGGTCATTTTTTGAAATACAGTACTCTTCTATATTTTGTATTGTGTCTAATTTGAAGATCCATCATAGAGTTGTCCTCAACTACAGAAACAGACATTGCTTTCTCATTTCCTTTCTCATCCCTCTCCACTACTTAAATTACATGTTGCTACCATTTTGGTGTTGCCTTCTAGAATCCTATTCCTACAGCAGCAAAACCAGAAAACTGCAGGTAGAGATTTGTATATTTGGCATAATGCAGAACAAATTACATGACAAAGGCTGACAAAACTTTAAGACTTCAGGTTTTGGAAACAAGATACTACATGCTTTAAACTGGAGGTCTTTTAGGGTTAAACCCAAACATAGCTATATTCACACCTGGAAGCACTTGGACAACTCAAGGCTGAAAATCCCATACTGTGCTTGTTGTCAATCCATTGTTTTCCTTCCTAGTAGGCTCTGGAAGTGAATATTCTACCACTTTGTGCAGTTGATGTTGAATGCTATGTCCACTGAACTGGGGTCGTCCAGGGTCACCAATCAGGACTCGAGTTCTATGGGTCCAAAAGCAATTCTTCAGCCATTGATGAAGACTGTCTGCAAGGTCTTCATCATAAAACATATCTCCAAGCACAACAAGGTCCCACTTATCTTGTTCCAAATCCAAAATATTTTTGGTTAAAATGGGAAAAGGATCCAGTTGGTTCAACTCACAATTCAGTGTGATAGCCATTCCTGCAACTTTAAGAAGCACATAATGAATTGGTTTATGCTAGGCAGTTTTAATCCCCTATTGATTCATTTAAGTAATTTAGAAAATCTAACAATATTTTTTCCCTTTTGTTGAAAGTTGTTTTTTAGGTAAAGAAGTATCTACCAATATAAACTATTTACTGCAATTTTCAAATGCATGAATGGATATCCTGAAAAAAAAACAAACAATACAAAACACCTAGAAATGTGGAGGTTTTAAGGAACATTTGCTGATCTAATAACCAAGAGGTTTGGTTTATTATAGCTATCCAGGGAAACAAGCCTTGGGCTTGAGCACCCTGGCAAGTTAGAACTGAGACCCCTGTATAAAATAAGGATCTTGGGGCAGCTGGGTGGCTCAGTCCGTTAGGCTTCTGACTTCTGATTTTGGCTCAGGTCATGATCTGAGTTGTGAAATCAAGCCCTGCATCGGGCTCACATGCTGGGCATGGAGCCTGCTTAAGAATCTCTCTCTCCCTCTTCCTCTACCCCTCTCCACCCTCCCCCCAAAAAATAAAATAAAATAAGGATAAAAGCTAGATCCTCAGTAAAATTGAAAACTAAAAGAAAATCAGAAAAAATTAAAATGACCTGTCCCAACTTAGGTTTTAATGGAATAAACTCTCCCTCAAAACACAAGGCCTCTCTCCTCACTTGGGTTTTGGTCAAATACACACAACCTACATATTTCAGGAAATCCCTCGCCCAGAAATTAACAGTAAGTGCTCCCAGCTTGGTACACTTTGGGATATCCGACAGACATAAATACAAATCCTCTTGAGAAATACGCACTTCAATTCAGGCCTCACAGGCTCCTCACAGATAATGTCCTACTGAACAGAAGTTCACAATATCAGATTACAAAATATACATGGAAATAAGTTATCATATTGAGGCATCTGTAGATATTTATCCTGGAAGAAAATAAAGATGAGCTTTAAGTATTTTTAAATATCAAATCCTTACTAGGGTCTATGTCGTTGGCCAAGATCCTCGATGCCCCGCGCATCTTGGCAGCTATAGCCGTAGCTCCACATCCACTCCCAAGATCTAACACAGACTTTCCTCTAACAACATCAGGATTATCCAAAAGATACCTAATTTGGAAAGAAAGCAAAAAAACACTGAGACGGGAGAAGGTCAGTAAGAGGTATTTAAAAAAAAGTTGTTTTTTTTTAAGCTCTATACCCAACATAGGGGTTGAACGACCTCTAATGACTGAGCCAACCAGGCACCACCCCCCCCAAAAAAAGTCTTTTTAAAATACTGAGCACTTACTGTGATCCAGAAACGGTCACACACCAAGAATACTGACTGACAAAATACAGCTATAATAAGGATTCGGTAAACTAGATCCAAAATCACTGTTTCCTTCTGATTGATTGTGCATCATAGAGTGGTTTTACCTACTGCTTATGTTGTTATAATGACCTCTCTGGTAAAGTACAAAGTCCAGTTCAACCAAACAATTTGGACCAGGACTAAATAGTTATCAAACACTGAAGATGGATGAGAAACCCTGAAATAAATAATAAACCCTGACACTTGACCTTACCACTGGAAAGTGAAGAATATCCAGGATTATGGTAAACTAGGGATGTACATGGCCTGTCTAAAGCGAAAGCGCTACCCATCTTCAGCTCACTGTTGCCATGCAGAAATCCTGTGTTATCAGATTTTCCTGTTTTTCAAAATCAGACATTTTTACATGAAGTTTCCCAAGTTTTATTTTTATTTTTTATTTTTTTGAAATGTCCCAAGTTTTAAATGTTAGCAACTGATTTTTTTGTTTTAAATTTACAAATAAAGGCCGAACAAAACACATCTGTGGGTGCACCAACTTGTGACCTCTGATTCAGTCTGTTAAGGAATTTGATTGTATTTATATTTGAAGTTGATAAACAATCACTTTAATAGACGTCACTGAAAATGTCAATATTTTTAAGGTATGATGTAAGTGAATAAAGCTTGAAAATTTGGCAACAACAACCAGAAAATCAGAATTGTTTGATAACACCTAGAAAGCTTTCCAATCTTCAGGATTCTCTGAAAAGCTCTACATATGCATTTATTTCTTTTGCATTCAAAACTATATACAACATTAATTGTTAGGCCATCCCGTTCCTGCCAATGAGAAGTCCTTATCCTTTTCATTTCAGAGGTCCAAACCCTTAAGGTATAAGCAGGTTTAATCATTTACCAATCTAAGAGCAAAAACCAGACTGAAATGCTGAAAGCTCCTGCCTTTGTCTCAGCAGCTGTGTTTTAATAAAAAGCATAGTGTGAAAATATGAGAGAGTGTCCTAAAGAACATTTTTGCTGTGTGGGGGCGGGGGGGGTGGGGTGGGTGGAAGAGGAGACCTTAAAAATGCACATCCAAGACACCTGGCTGGCTCAGTCAGTACAGCATGAAACTCTTGATCTCAGGGTTGTGAGTTCAAGACCCACGATGGGCATAGAGCTTACTTAAAAAAAAAAAAGAAAAATGCAGATTCAAGTCCAGAGTTCACCTGAGATGTGAGTAAGCCACTAGAGAAGGAATCCTTGTGGATCCCACTCACTCACATCTCTTGTTCTTTGAGAGACTGAGAGAAGTGAGGCTCCAGGGAGGGAGGGAGTGCGAGGCTCGAGGAGCAACATTTACTAGATCAAACTAGGAGAGCTAAAGGACCAGGGCTTTAGGTTCCATCTAGAAACTCTGCACTGGCCATACCTTATGAACCATGGACCAGAAAATAGTGTGAAATTTCCAGATCATTCATAGTATGACAGCTGATCCTAGGGTTTCTCTTGGAGAGAGAACTGTATTTGGGGAAATACACTGATAAACTGCTCCAAATTAAGAAAACAAGAATTTGGGGGTTCAACTCTGATTTTTTGTGAGGAGCAGGGAGAATGCAGAGTTGGAAGGGGCTGAAAAAAGAATCTGCTGAAAAAAAGAATCTGCAGAAAACAGATCTGTATGGGCCTTAAAGCTTCCCATTTCAGTTAGGGCAATACCTAGACAGGGCCTGGCCTCCTGGCCAGTAGATTGCCCAGTAAGGTTCGCTATAGGGCCACAGGTCAGCTTTTTGCCACCAGAACTTGCATCTGGGCGTCAGAAGCCGCAACTGGATTTCAGGGGTGAGGCTGCCACTGCTGCTGACTTCAGTGTTCTCCTCCAGGAAAGCTTTCATCTCAGGGTCCAAAAAGCTTCCAGTTCCTCTCCAGGGGTAATGGCCCCAGGGAAACAAGGCAAGACCATTGCTTCTCAGAGCTTTCAGAAAGACACCACAGTGGTTCATGGGAAATGGTGCACATGCTCTCCGACCTAGGCTTGAAGCCATCGGTCCTTGTCCAAAACACAGGTTCTGTCAGTGTTGCTGTTGATAAGAGCTGATGCTCCTCGTGAGGAAGGAAGGGTACGGCTGCCACGGTGATCTCAACTGAAGTCTGTGGGTCTCTAAAAACAGAAATAATACTGAAAATTCCAAGGTTCACTCACACTTCCATATCCCATTACATAGGAAGAAAATATTAAGAGTGTAAGCTCTGTAGCAGAGCTGCAAGTGCAAGTCCATTTCAGATGGAAGTGTTGGTGCATCAACTTGGGAAAATCCAACCTTTTAAAGGAAGTCTTTTCACAACAAAAGCCTTTTAATAATTTAGAACAACAAATATACAAGCATTTGATTTTGAGAGAAAACCTCGGGAACATGCCTGTTACATAAAATAAGGTTTACCTTTAAAGTTCTTTCACACACACACACACACACAAAATAAAGTTCTTTAACACATTTAGTAAACCACTTACCTTTAAGCAGGCACTGTGAACAAAATAAGTCTCCATCTTTGGGAAGCTTAGACTCTAGCAGTGGGGTAGAGCTATTGCCAGGGCAAACACAGTTCTGGCCTTTATGAAGTCTTGCCAAGAGTTGTGGAGGTTACCAAACTGTAATTGTGGGCAAAGATACACAAATTATACGGAGTACACATCGATGGAATCAAGATTCAGATTTTTTCTTAAAACTTTATGGATTTAATTGTCATAAAAAATATCAACTCGCAAGTATCTTCCTATAAATATCTCTGATGACTCATCTTTACCAAGCCTGGGAGGAAAAGACTTGTTCCAATAGAAAAACACCTTGATAAGAACGAGAAAGAATAAGAAACAGCAGTTTAAACACAAACTATATGCCCAGTTACTTGGGACCTCTGACCTGTTCTGCATAAATGTTTTAAACAGTCCTATATCCATCCACCCAAATATTTAGAGTAGGGGCCAGACTGGTGATCCATGAGTGATGCCGCTGGTTATAGCAGAGGGGCTGTGGCGACCTGGATTCTGTTTCTGAGCAGTGCAAAGGGGCCAGCAAACTGCTTGCAGGTAAGAACACGCTGCCAGATCTTCCAGTTTCTCAAGATAATCCAGATATTCACACAAAAACCCCCACTTGTAAACGCAAGTGATCAATTAAAATATCAAAACACAGGGCAGGCTAAAATGCCTGTCAGGCCACTTGCGTGCGAACTCAGCATAGGCTTTCAGTAGGTGTCATCTCCCCATCGTGCCCTCAGGATCCCAGGTCTCTAACAGCCTCACTTCTCCCCGGACTAATTCTGTTAGGAAGTGTTGGGTCAGCCCTTGAATCGCACGAGCCGCAGCTTATAAATACAGCAGAGCAAATACGAGAGGATTTTGGTTTGGAACACCGTGTTGTCTAGACCCAACACCAAAAAAGCATCCTTCATGAACACGGGACTATGCGGTGGGCACTCGGTACCTGTTATCAATTGTTAAGGAAGGAAGAGGGGTCAAAAAGGCAAGTTCCAAAAGTGTTCGTGACCACGTTATGTCCCTCCGAGGAGAGCGGGACTCGGTCTTAAAGGGGCAGGCACAGGCCTCCTTTCTGTCCTCCCCAGGGTGGGCGAACAGCGCCCAGGGAAGCTAAGCACGCGCCTTTGGGCGTCTTTCCCGGCATTCCTTAGAACCGCCCCTGGCGCGCCGACCCCCGCGGGCGGGCAGGCGCGCGCCTCCGGGTGCAGAGCGTGGACCGCGCGCCCCGCCCTCCTTCCCAGCAGCCTCCCGCGGCCTTTTCCTACCTTTCTTAAAGGGGCAGGGCCTCCGCAGGAGGCGGCACTCCGACCTCGCTCTGGAAGCGTGAGACCGTGAAGCTCTGATTTCTGCGAAATCCAGTCAAACTGGGAGCGTTTGCTTTGTGCCAGTCACTTGTTGGAGAGGAAAAATGTTTCTCTTCCCTTCCTCCACCTTTCAAAGCTTCTTCTAGCTGATCTTAGAATTAAATTGACAGGAAACACATCAACGGAAGAAAACCAAATTGAATCTTGTACCTATGGAAACGCCAGCTGCAGAAGAGATGCAAAAACAGAAAGGTAAAAGGAGGTTTATATGTCGTCCTGAACTAAAGAGAAGGGAGTTTGGGACTTCAAAGGGAAGGAAAGTAATTCACAGAAGATGAAAGGAGTAAATGTTTGCTGGGCCACACAGAAACAATGGGACAGAGAGGAATTTTAACAAACAGACTTTGCTAAATTCCTCCCTATCACACCTAGTTCGTATTATGCTGTAGTTATCTATGATGATAGATTTCTTCTGGAGCAGGTCCTCTATTTATATTCTTTCAGGCAGTAAGGGGGGAGGTCAGCTTCTTCCTGAGTCTTTTGTACCTTGATTGTTTTCAGCTCAGAAATAACCCACAGGTCAAAGTGGCACATCTTGGGGCAATTCCTTCAGAGCCCCTACGCACACTTCTAGGCACTGGGCAGAGTGGTGAGCAAAATAGACACAGTATAAGCCCTTGATGACACTTAACCTTCCACTGAACTTAAATCATAATGTATGTCCTCTCTTTTATAATTTGCATAAATGTACAATATAAATCTATTTGCAACCTATATCATTCAAGTTCTGGACCCATAGGTCCATCTCCCAACCCTCAACATCTCCAAAATAGACTTGCCACCCCACCTGACAACAATTAAAACCCGCTCAGGTGTGCCAAAGGGAAAAAAGAAAATTGACCCAAACTAAGAAACAGGCAAATCATGTTTCTGCATCTTAGTCTGCAGTTTGGGGGATGACCTGACAGCCGCCTGTTCAAAATTAGAGCTTGTTGCTTCTGTTCTCCATTTCTGCCCTCGAGTTTACGGGGTTTCCCATTTTCCCTGTAAACTGGAACCTCTAGGAACTACTAGAAGGGAATGAAACTTTGTTATTCCAGTTAACAACCCCAGATGCATCCTGCTCATTTGCTCCTTGCATGAATGACTGTACTTATTTTAGATGGGTAGGATACACACCTAGCATCTCTGAGTCACTCTGCCCTACATTTCCTCTATAAAAACTAATATGACTGTGAATAAAACTGTATTTATTAACTGGCTACTTTTTAAAAAAATTATCTGCTGATGTAAACCTTTTTTTCTCAACTATAATTTCTCATTTCCACACACTCCGATTCTCTTACTAGCAATAAACCTTAATCCATGTTCAAGATCAATTTGTCAAAGAATTGTTTTTAACTAGCTTGTGTTCTATTCCTGTGAATAGCAAGAACATCCCAGTTATTGCCTAAGACACCAGGGACAGGAGGTAAGCCTAACATTTTTACAAAAGAGGGTTTCCAGTAAAAATATAAGTGCTCGGGGCGCCTGGGTGGCTCAGTCGTTAAGCGTCTGCCTTCGGCTCAGGTTAGGATCCCAGGGTCCTGGGATCGAGCCCCACATCGGGCTCCCTGCTCAGCGGGAGGCCTGCTTCTCCCTCTCCCACTCCCCCTGCTTGTGTTCCCTCTCTCGCTGTGTCTCTCTCTGTCAAATAAATAAATAAAATCTTAAAAAAAAAAAAAATTGTAAGTGCTCATCATTGAAGATGCATTTAATAATGTGAAGACAAAAAAAAAAGTGAAGACACCTTGACCAAAACTTGGAACTAGGCTAAAGGGACTGCTGAATGTCCTCTCCCCACCTTAATAATTTTAAAATTGATCCACTTTCTATTCCTTCTGCTATTGCCTTAGTTCAGCCCTATGATCCTTTCCCTGAATTCCTTTAACTAGTCTCTCTCCAATCCTACCTTCCTCTCTCATTCTCTATGGTACAACTTAAATGTTTTGTTGTTGTTGTTGTTGTTTTCTGGACTTTATATTTCTATAGCCTAGAAAAGGCCTTACATTCCTATAAGATAAACCAGATAATCCATGAAAAATAGACCTGGATTTTCTTTTCTGTCGTTGCTTGGTGTTGATGTATTGTTTTTTCTTAATTAAAAGAAAGAACTGTCTTGCTTTTATTAAAGTTGACCCACATGTACCAAGCAGACTTGTGAACTGTCTGATAACAATTGAGCTATCGTCAATAAAGCTCAATGCTTTATGATTTTTGCCTCAGGGCCTGTCCTCTCCCCTAGGCCTTGGTTAAGACAACAAGGTGCAGCCTTTGCCACCTAAACAACCCATCCTCCCTCCTCAACCTTCAAAACTCAGCTCAGGGTCAAGGCCCTCTGAAAAGCCTTCCCCAACACACACACTAATCTTGACAGTTTCTTAGCTTCCTATGGGTACATCCAACGAGAATATCATGCAGAACAGCCATTGCCTGGCTCCTCTACTAGACTTCGAAGCAGACCATCTCTTTCCTCTTTTATCTTCTGGCACAATTAAGACACTCAATAAATTCTGTTAAATGAAAGAAAAAGCAAATAAATGAGTAAATTAACAAACATAACATATTAGTGTCTCATTTTTAAATTTCATTTTTAACAGTTTTATTGAGGTATAATTAACATGCAATAAATTTCACATATTTAAAGTGTACAATCTGATGGGGTTTTTTGGGTTTTTTTAAGATTTTGTATGTTTATTTGTCCGAGAGAGCGCACAAGCAGGGGGAGCAGCAGGGGGAGGGAGAAGCAGGCTCCCCGCTGAGCAGGGAGCCTGATGTGGGGCTCCGATGTGGGGCTCCATCCCAGGACCCTGGGATCATGACCTGAGCCGAAGGCAGACGCTTAACTGACTGAGCCACCCAGGCGTCCCAATCTGATGTTTTGATATGTATATATACACTCATGAAACCATGACCAAAATCAAGATGATGAGCATATTCAGTGCCCCCTCCCCTGCCCCGCCCCCCCCCCCCCCGTATTATCCCTCCCTCCTGTCCTTGCCCACATCCGCTCCTCCATCCCCAGGCAGTCACTGGTCAGGTCTCTGTCACTATAGATCAGTTTGCATCTTCTAGATTTCTATATAAATGCAATCGTACAGTATGTACTCTTTTTTTGTCTTTGTTTTCACTCAACATGCTTATTTTGAGATTCATCCATGTTGTTTGAGCATCTTTTCTTGTGCTTCTTTGCCATCCATTCATCTTCTATTCAAATTGTGTCTCATTTTAAATCCGAATTGCTGCATTGTTTTTCTGTTCTTACACGATTCAGGTACATTAAAAATAGGGGCTTTGTATCTTTGTTTTTCCTCAGTGCTGGAAGAACAATTCAACAAAGTTAATGGAATTATCTGGAATGATGGGAAAAACATAACTTCTTTTGCCACTTTGGGAGATTGTTTATAACATAATTTTTAAGTGTTTATCAATATAAATTAGTTTGTAAATATATTTCTAATAAAATATTGACACTTCAGTTTTGTTTTAAAATGAGCCTTGAGGCATGCCTGCGTGGCTCAGTCCTTAGTGTCTGCCTTCGGCTCAGGTCATGATCCTGGGACCCTGGGATCAAGCCCACATCGAGCTGCCTGCTCAGCGGGGAGCCTGCTTCTCCCTCTCCCACTCCCCTTGCTTGTGTCCCCTCTCTGTCTCTCTCTGTCAAATAAATAAAAACTTTTTTAAAAAATAAATAAGTAAAATAAATAAAATCAGCCTTGAGAGGCAAACAACATATAAATTGCCCCCAAGGAGGGGTGCCTGGTTGGCTCAGTCTGTAGAGCATGCGACTCTTTTAGTATATGTGCTGCCGAAGCGAGCACAAGCATGCGACTCTTGATATCAGGGTTGTGAGTTCAAGTCCCACATTGGGTATGAAGCTTACTTTAAAAAAAAAAATGCACCCAAGGAAGTGTGATTTGCCTCTGCCACCTCAGAATGTGTTTCTCCCCACACTTTTGAATGAAGTATGAAGTTTGGGGTTTTCTAGAGCTTAAGCTTCCTTCTAGCTTCTCTCCACCAAGCTATCCTTGCAACCATTCTGTAGCACCATGTCTTTGTGAATGTGTAGGTTTCCTCTTTTCAGTTCCTCCTCTGAGGTTTGCAGTTGCTGCTCCTTCAGGAGGCAAACTTGTCCAGGTCACTAAGTCACGCTTAAAAATCCTGACAGCGGGCCCTTTTAAGACCAGTTTACGATAAAAGGGATTGAGCTGTTACAGAGCAGGCCAATCTTCAGCCAACTAAAATTACAGTGCCATCTAGTGATAATTTAGCTTAATATTGGCGAGGTGTGTCAGTTAAAATGGTGACAGCAAAAAACTAAAAACCCAACAAAACCCTGAAACCGTGAAATCACCTTAATTCTGAATAAAGAGCAGATTCTCACCCACAATGTTACCACACACTGGCATGCTTGTTCAGTTGTAAAATACGGTGGAAATAGTCATCCCTGGTAATAGTTAAAGTCTAAAGTTTAAGAAAGACTCTGTGCTGGGGCTCCTGGGTGACTCAGTTGGTTAAGCGTCTAACTCTTGATCTCAGCTCAGGTCTTGATCTCAGGGTCTCAGGTTCAA